GTGACACTGGGGTGACACCCATGGGGCCATGCTGTCCCATGTCCCAGGGTTGGGGGCGGTGGTGGCGCTGGGGGCGGCGGTGGCCGCGGTGGTGGCCGCGGTGGTGGCCGCGGTGGTGGCCGCGGTGGCCGCGCGGTGCCAGGCGTGTCCCCACAGCTGATGCAGCAGCAGGCGGCCCTGGTGGCCGCGCACTCGGCCTACCTCAGCCCCATGGCCACCATGGCCGTGCAGATGCAGCACATGGGCACGGTCAACCCCAACGGGCTCATCGCCACCCCCCTGCCACCCTCCTCAGGTAACGGCCACAGCGGCCACAGCGGCGACACGGGGACACGGGGACACGGGGGACAGGGGGGATAGAAGGGACAGAGAGGACAGGGAGGATGAGGGGACAGGGGGACGGGGGGGATGGAGGGGATAGAGGGGACAGCAGAGACACCAGGGACACCAGAGACAGTGGGGACAGAGGAGAGGGGATGGGGGACATTGGGATGGGGACACTGGGGACGGGGGGCATTGGGAGTGGGACACGGGAATGGGGGACACCAGGGGTGGGGGACAGTGGGGAGGGACACCTGGGATGACAAACAGTGGAGTTGGGGACATCTGGGTGCAGTGGGGACACCGTGGATGGGACAGCAGGAGAGGGGGACATGGGGACACCGGGAATGGGGGACACGTGGGGAGATGTGGGGGTGTGGTGGCACCCGGGAATTTGGGGAGCCCCAGGGGTGGGATGGGGACACCAAGGATGGGACAGGGACACTCAACCACCACTGGCTGGGCCCTCCAGGGTCACGGTCGCGGTGTCCCCGCGGTGTCCCCGCGGTGTCCCGGGTCTGTCCCGGGTCTGTCCCCGCCGTGTCCCCGCCGTGTCCCCGCCGTGACCGTGTTGTCCCCGCTGTCCCCAGGAACCAGCACGCCCCCGGCCATGGCGGCCACCCCCGTCCCGGCCATCGCGGCCCCGCTGAGCGTCAATGGCTACAGCCCCGTGCCCGCGCAGCCCGCGGGACCCCCCGCCCCCGACGCCGTCTACGCCGGGGGGGTCCCC